TGATGTGGATGACCAATAAGCACGATCTTGAAGGTTGGATCGATGGGTATCAATCAACTGATTCAAAACAGGCCGTAGATCAGTAAGAAGACTGGAGCCATGTACATGCCACCGACGAGCTAGTTTGCGAAGCTGTGTGGTAAAACGCTGATGCAACAAGTCAACATCACCGAAATACTGATCCTTCATGGACGCGGCCATGATATCCATGTCGATGTCCGCATTGATGCGTGAGAACTCATCCACCATTACTGCATGTTCATGCGCACGGTGAAGGCGGTGATCATCAATGTCCGAACAGCGACAAGGAAAAGATACGTCAGGAGTCCATCTGCGTTGCCATGTGCGGTAGTTGTAGATCCTGTCTCCCAAAGTGGCGCTGCGAGTTTCCACCACCCGGATCTTTGGAAGAAATAGGGAGGGAAACAAGTCACGATGTGAAGCGACCCAACGTTGTAACCACGTGCCAAGTTGAGCTTTCCAATTCCGTACATGTAGAGGCGGTAGAAGTAGTTGTGTCAAAGTGCTTGGTGATTGGAGCTGTCGTTTGTGCAGCACCTGGGCGAGGAGTTTCTGTGCCTTGGAACGAAAGGGCTCGTTGACAAAGACGGAGAGTCGCAGGAAGTAGTAGAGCTGAGTGGGAGGAAAAGCCGCCGACAGTAGGTCTCGCATGGCTTGGAACGATGCGCCTGTGTTGGATCCCAGCTGATAGAGAGTGGAGTAATGCGCTTGAATGTCATCCAACATTTCAGGTCGTAATTGCCGTTGAAGATCCGGATGTAGTCTTCGTCGAAAACGTTTGTGTAGACCAAGCGAGGTGGGAGACGACAACGAATGACGTCGAAAGTCAACGAGATGCTCCCGGAAGCCCACCTTTCGAAGAAGTCTATGTACCCAGGGTGCATTCAAATGCGGACGCAGCAGGTATTGCCACTTGCTTTCCTGGACCCAAACCGAGGAAATGGGGAGTTTGATCTCAACCGGAATGGCACAGAAAAGCCAGTAAGTGTTGGAGCGCTTCCAGTAGTGAAGTGCAGGTTCGAAGAAGGCATGACGTCCCCGAAGTAGTTGTAGAAATTTGCGACTGCGTGAGTGTTCACGTCGTAGAACGTCCTGATCAGTCGCACCAACGTAGTATGGCGTGTGCCATGGAGAAAGTCGGATGTAAACGCATGGTTGTTGATGATGACCTGGATCGTGAATGAAGTCATAGAGGTCCGGAAACCGTGTCCGTAATGAGCGAAGATGTCTTGTGTCTGCAAAAGTGGAATGCATAATTTCGCACAACAGAGATGTCTTGTAGAAGTGAAGAACCTCGAAGAACGGTGCGACATATCCATGATCTTGAGAAATGAGACGCTGCAAGAAACTGATCAATAAATAGGCCGCGCACCGGCGCCTGTGAAGTTCATACCTGTTGGCCACAGTGTGGTGAGATTGTGACATGGCGTGAATCGGAATCTGAAGTGCAATCCGGACCACAACTAATACTTCCAGAATAAGGCCCAACCAAGGTAGTTGTGCAACTGACTCGTATTCATCTGTTGGTATCGACGGTGGTGGTAGTCCAGGAAAGCAGTATTGCCAGCACGTAGAGAACATTGTCAACGAGTGTAGAAAGGTGTCGAGAGAATGCCATTGCGCAACATCATCATAGATTCCACAGCGGCGAAGCTCAGCCAACATGGTGAACATGCAACCAATGAAATCTACAGTGTGGCGGCGACATGAATGCAAGCGGCAATGAATATCAAGCAAATGACAACGCAAGCACAGACAAGCGCATCATCAAACAAGTGCAAAGCAAGAAGACGACGGACGAGTTTTGAACCTTTCCTCAACCGTGACACAGCTGCCGCTCCGGGCTCATAAGTGAACGAAGTTCGTCAAGAGGGACTGCTCACCCACTGAGTAAGCGGGCGGTCACGATGAGGTGACTCAGCGCCTTGTCAGTGAGCTTGGTGAGGTAGCCGGGCTCCAGTCCCCACAGAGCCGCCATCGCCCCAAGCGTAGGTGCGTCTCCTTTTGGCATGCGTTGACGCGCCTGAAGGAGTTGCGTCGCCATGGAATCCAAGGACTTGTTGCCGTTGAGACGGGACGGGTGATTGGCCCACTTGACCAATGACGCCAAAGTGGTGGTTGTGGGCGATTGCTTGAGATACAAGCGTGGCTGATCACTGGTCCATGTGTAGTACTTGATGACGTCATCCGGCGTGCTGTGCATGGTGAGCAATTGTGAGGCCGCCGGCTTGGAAGGCGGTGAAGAAACTCCGTGAAGAGACTGAATGATCCGGGGTTGCACTGCGCCGTCAAACGACTTGCCATCAAGGGCCGCTGCGCTGGCCGTAGGGAGGGAGCTGGGAGGTGACGAGGATTGTGTGTGGTTGACCGGTGGTGGTGTAACCAACTCTGCATCATCCTTCTGGCTTGGCACCGTGGGGGAAGTCGAAGCGCGTAACGATGCTGAATACTGAGCCTGGAGCAACTCATGAGCACGATTTAGATCATTGTACTTCTTGACCATGTCATCCGTCTGGGTAGAAGGCGTGAGAGTTGCGTGGTGTTGCTGAAGAAACTGAAGTACCAAGTTGGCCAAATGGTCATGAACCTTGATCCGCTGATTGAAGTCGTCGAGGTTGAGCCCCAGTGAGTTAGCAAGGTCCTTTTCCAAGGTAAGCAGGTTGATCGACTGTGATCGTCGTAGTAGTTTGGAACAAGTGCTCCAAAGTAAGGCCTCGGTGCGAGTGCGAAAGCCTTCCCACGTCACGAATCTGCCGTGAGCAAACGGCCGGAGCAGCCAGTTGGTGAGGCCTCCATGAATGACCTGAACCAGGCGAACGTCACGAATGTCCATGCCGGACATGTCACGTAGGTTGTTGTGCGGGGTGTTGGCGACCGTCGTGGGCAGGCTGAAGTTGTAGAGCTGGTTGATATCTAGCATGCCATCTCCAGGTGTCCAGTCAGCCGATGGAGTAAGCCAGGCTTTCTGAGGTCGAACCGGTAGGGCTGCAGGGTATCCAGGTGATGGTGTAGCTTGCGAGGGGGTAACCGGTGGCGGCATCACGGGCGTAGTTGATCGGTGAATGATGGAACTGCTGCGTGGGGTTTGGAATCGATTGGTAATTGGTCTGCATCACCGGGAAATTGTTGGCGGAGTTGTAGCCGGAATTGTGTTGCCAGGATACCAGGTTGTTCCAATCCATGCCTTCCGAGACCTGGTTGTCATTGTGTTCGTGTCGGCGTGCTTTACGAGCTTGAGGGGAAGGACTCCGATCACGTCTGCGCCGAGTCCTGGATCTGTCACGATCGTCACGTCGAGACATGGTGGCGCAACCAACGCACAACCGTCACACTTCAACCTTGAGAGAAGCAAATCCGACAAAATGCAAGTCAATGCAAGTTCAAGTCAGCGGCCATCAGCAGCAAAGGTAAGAGACACGAATCCGACCAAAGGCAAGTCAATGCAAGTTCAAGTCAGCAGCCATCAGCAGCTATGGTGAGAGAAACGAATCCAACAAAATGCAGGCCAATGCAAGTTCAAGTCAGCAGCCATCAGCAGCTGTGGTGAGACGTCTCTATACAGCTGTCTTCCCTTTAGTGAAACCTCGTTCCTGATTAAATGTGAAATTCCGCTGTTCTGTGATAAGAACGTTGAGGTCAAATTTTCCGACAAAGGCCGGCCCGGGGTCACACAATGGGTACACCCGAGGGTTCCCCACGAATGGGGTGTACACACTTAAACTCCAGATGGAGGGTGCTAATCTTTCGAGTACAACTGATGAGTCTCGAGTACAACTGATGAGGCTCGAGTACAACTGACAAGTCTCAAGTCGGATAAGGTTCGGCTGGCAGGTCACTTGGCTTCACTCTAGTGTCGAAAACGTTACAAGGTTCAACATGAAGCACACACAGCGGCAAAAGAAGCGGCCAACTGGACTTTCATCAACATCACTTCACAAAAGCAGGTACACACGGGTGATCAATCCGTGCATCCACCATCAAGCATAGCTTCGTTGGCCAGCGTTTGCTTGATGGCCGCTGGCCCCCTGCTACTCATAGTGGTGACAGGGCATTCTGTCACTCCGCACACACACACACACACCCACCCACCCACCCACCCACCCACCCACCCACCCACCCACCCACCCACCCACCCACCCACCCACCTACCTACCCACCCAGCCACCCACCCACCCACCCACCCACCCGCCTGTCCGCGTGCGCGCACGCACGCACAACGAACCAACGAACCAATGAAGCCAACCAACCAACCAACCAACCAACCAACCACCCAGCCAACCAACCACCCACCCACCCACCCACCCAACCAACCAACCAACCAACCAACTAACCAACCAACCAACCAACCAACACATACTTCCCTTTTAAACTACCAAAGGAATCTCACCTTGCGATGGCCTGAAAGCCTGGTGACATCCGCTCGAATCAAGGATTCCCCTCTGGAATGACATTCCCCCCATCAACCAGGGTTTATGAATCCTGGATCAACACGGGGTTCTGGCCCTCTTGTAAGTTTCCCAAGATTTTTTTGCCATGTGAGTGGCTTGCAACCTAAACGCTGACTAGGCCGAACATCCAAGTAGGTCTCCTTTGAGTAGATGGATCCCAGTGGAAGCTGATCTGGGTTTTAGAGAGGGGGCCTGGAGCAAATCGACGATTCTCGGTCTGGCGGTTCCTGTAGGAGAAATTGAAGAATAAAAAATACGGAAGGTTGAGCACCCAGTGATTCGAGCCAAACTGCCACCAGCGGAATTCACCTATTTCCAACCAGACCGATGACTATGAGTGTCCGGGCGGTGTCGGAGGATAGAACTCCCGCCTTGTGTGAAAACGGCAAAAATTACCATAATTCCCAAGCTGATTTCAATGGAACCCCCCCCCCCTCCCCGCCCCCAGTCCAGGATTTTCATCCTGGGTGTTCGCTCGCTTCAACCCGGATCGGTGTCCGCATCTGTTGGACGACTCGCCAGGGCCCCGGCGCACGCCGTGCCAGGCGTAGGGCGAAGCGCAGCGCCCTTGTGAGGTTCCGCAAGGAGAAGTAGGAGACCTCAGGGTAGTCCTTTTGCATATATGTTCAGGAGTTTGTAGACGGAATGGTGTGTGCCTATTTAAGGGTTGGTTGAAATGGAAAGCCAAAAGGAGTTTTAGGACAACCACCATTTGGGAGGTCTGCTCTCATTGTGACGCACACCAACCTGTACTTCCAAAGTCTAGACAGTGCTGCCGTGGCAGACCCGCCGGCTAGGGCGTGGCCGGCCGTTTGAAACCAGTTTGATGCAAACAAGTTGAAACAAATGAGTTGTCCAACCCCGAGCGGTGCCACCAATTGTACCAGTCAAAAAAACGGCACCTGCCAGGGAATCTGAGGTCTAGGTGTCAAAATGTCCTTCGTTCCAAGTGGAAAAGCCCCGGGATTTTGACCCAAACTGAGGGATTCCCCCACGTAGCTTTAAGCTGGAAGCCCCACCTTGGCAACATGGTGACACCTCGCCGAAACATGGCTTCATGGAGACTGACTCGGCCTATGTCTCAGAATCACGAGAGGAAAAATGCGCTTTATTCAGACCCGAAGAAAATATCTTATTCGGACCCAAAGTTGAATGGGACATGGGGAAATCAGCTTGCCCCCCTCTAGTTTTCGTGGGTAGATTCGGGCGGCCGATGTCCACATCCTGCGCCACCTCTTGGCCCCGCGCCCGCCCCGCGCCATCCAGCAAGGAGCTCTGACCTTGGACATTCTCCGCCAGGAAACCACTCTGGCTAGACATTGGTAGACTTGCGATGGGTGCGATAGGGGAACAAGAATTGGAATGACCCTTATAAAATTGGCTGTGGCTTCCCTTAAGTTGGAATCCCTTGGTTCATTCCTAAGCCTTTAAGCAAATGGAAGCCTACATGTCGTGGGCTTCAGCCTGAAGCTCCGCGCCACCGGGTCTGGGAGGCCGCGCGACAAAGCAGGGCAGCGTGCTTGTAGAAGCCTGGCGCTCACGGCCGACCCAAGCGCCCAAGCTTTCCTTTGGGTTCGACCTACCCTCCCCACCCGATTAACATGGAACCTGCCGGGGATCCGGTTGAAAATGGTCTTCCAGGACCCCCTGTCAGGCTCCATGCTTGATGGTGGCAGGGTGACAAAAAAGACATCCCCGCAACCTCTACTGACCCAGAAGAAGTCGAAGCCCCTCCAAGTCAGGTTTGCAGACGCCCAAAAAGCTCGCTGGCAAACTTGCGCCGGTCTGGGCATATGTGAGCCGTGCGAGGGCACTCAAGTCCCATTCAGGAATTCTCAAAAGAGACACAACCAATACATGACTAGAGTTAGGTCCAGTTCTAGAATGTAGATTTTAGCGTTTGCTTCACTTTGAGTCTTTGAGTCACTGGTAAAATGCTAAAAATGTATCCCAAGTCTACCCCAAAAAATGGCGATCCTCACTGCGAGGGCCGGGGAGTGCAGAAGCGCGCCTACGATGGCGTCGCAGGGCGGATTGGGAAGATCCCGCTCCAAGTAACTGCGGACCTGGGGCCATCCGGTCGGTTGACTTGGGGAGGGGGGGGAGGGGGGTACTCAGCCTCATCCACAACGTGTGGCCAGCATCTAAATTCACGCCAAGATCAGTCCTTACTGAGCCCAAAGTCCTGAGCAATCCCTTATAAACCACGCCCAGTCATCATTTAAGTCTTGCGCCGCGACATGAATTTGCGCAAAATGTCCACGATGTTACCATGAATGTATATATATATATATATATACACATAGGATTACTGGCTGTTCACTTCATTCCTGGCCATGAACACGTAAAACGCGTGGTGTGAATTTGTCGGGCTCGAAACCTCTGCCGCTTTGGCCAGTTTCCACCTGGACAGAGGCCCCTTGCTGACGACGCCTAGCAAACGACTTCCAACATGGGTCCGAGTCAACCCAGGCCCTTGGTTGACGTTGAATTTTGGGCAGCGAATTCTTTTCTTCAAATCTTAGCAGTCAAGTGGATTTGGATTTGGAGTTCAACCACTAAACCACAAGCAAACATGTAAACATGCAAAAAATGTGTCATAACCAACCATGATGTGGTATGGATAAATAGCTAGAAACTGGAACCAAACCGAAACCAGTGCCCTCCAAATGTGTCATACAACAACAAGCAAAAACGTGATATGTTTTTTCAACAACAACCATGCGGTCCCCCTCCAATGGGTCCAAGTTGACCCAGGTCCCCCCTTCCAAATGTGCAAAGCAACCCCCTTGATCCCAAGTCTGAAGGATGGTTCGATCCAAGCTGCGATGTGACCCAGGTCCTCGGAGGTGTGCACCTGGCGACACGGCGACTTCGCCGCGCTGCAGTTGCTGAGAGCAAGCTGCTTGGGGCGTACCTAGTGAGTGGTTAGCAAGCCTGATACCCCACTGAACGGAGACTTATAACATCTGATAAGCATGGCTTTGGTGGGTTGTAACCAGGCCTACTAACCACTTGCCAAGTACAAGGCCCTTTAAGTGGACAATTAGGCTCAGAGGGGGTGCAATAAATTGGCCCTCAATATGTTGCACCAACAAGTCTTGGAAGTTTGTGTGTGGCTTGGAAGTTTGTGTGTGGCTTGTTTTGCACACCATCCCCGGTTTCGGGCCGCAACAATCAAATCCGAGGCCTGCCAGAATCAGGACAAGTAATCATGCAGCTGGCGGGTATCAACTGACGCAGTACTGACACCACCAGAAAGTGAAATGCGGAAAGAGCAGGCAGCAACCAGCGCAGCAAGCCCATTGCAAGCCAGCTTGGCCTAGCAGCACCACTCGAGGGTGTTTTGTTCGATGGTCTTCCAGTTTGCTCGTGCACAAAACCACCAAACCACTCCCCCTGCGGGCGCGCAAACCAAACATCGCGCGCAGCTTTCTTCGGCAAAAAGCGCTGTGAGCCGGCTTTTCCAGGCTGAGAGACCTCTATGTACACGTTGCAATCGATGTCACCCCTTCCCTTCCTATGGCCGTTGGACCGAGCCTGAAACCCATATCAACCAAACTGGTACAAAACCCTTGGACTTTTGCCTTGTGAGTGTTCCCTTGAACACCAAGGCTACAAGCGATTGAACGGCCCCTCCTTTTTGACCAGGCCCAGTTGACATGTCATTTCAGGACTGGTCTGAAATCCTGGACTCGAATGTACTCTAAAGAAAAAAGGGTACGTCTTTGCTTGGCTGGAATTAGGACCCCAGCAAAAAATATATTGTTTGCATGGTTAGTGGAAAACAAAGGGGACCCCAAAAAAGAAAAAAAGGAAAAGGGGGAGCTAATTCTGGGGAAGTTCCTCCCAGTGAGGTTCCTCTTGGTGTTCCCTTCAAATGCAACCGGGGTCGCTTGAAAACACCCCCCCAGGCGTGACCAAAAACCGGCGCGGATTAGCTCAGCTGAGGCGTGGCGGAGCCGTGGCCATCGTAGACGATGAACAAGGCCCTGGGGTTGCAGGACCAAAATTCCGTACCCAGTGAACATCCCAGCCCCCACTAAAATAGGTTTCAAAATGGGTGCACCTACCCCAAAATGGGATCCAACACGGTTTTGACAACCAATCCAACCACTAAAATAAAGCCTGAAATGGGTGGTGAATTCACCTACCAAAATGGGATCCCAAACCAACCCACTAAAATAAAGCCGTGAACTCACCTGCCAACCAAAACGGGATCCCAAAACGGTTTTGACCCACAGCCACGTCAGCTGCTCAAAGTGATGCCTCTCTTTGAGTGTTGTCCTGTTGGTTTGAGTTGTTGACTGTATAGTGTTCGTCTGGGCAAGCCTTCTTCTTGAGTTGTTGGAATCCTTCTGAGCTCTTTCCTGCTCCGTTCCATGGTGTAGATGGACTTGTTGTCCCAGGTTCAGTGACTCGCTCTTTTCACAACCCCCAACCTGACATCTTCCCTGAAAGCATGGCTGTTGGAGACACGAGAACAAGGATTGCTTTCCGAAGGCATCAACATTCAGATGGGCCTTTCAACATTCGGATGCATTTTGATCACTAGACCGACTGCCATCTCTTCACCATTTGCCTTCGTCAATAAAAAACCAAGCCCGAAATGGCAAAGAGCACATAGCATAGCGACACCTGTCATAGCTCCCGTGAACGGGCGTGACTCCCTAAGCTGTGCTTGTGGTTGCGACGAAATCATTCAGCAAAAGTCGGATTAGGAGCATAGCACATGAGCGGTTCAACCAAGCTCATCTGCTCTGCATGGCAAGCACATATATAGTTGCGTGTGTGTGCCTGCATACGGGCCTGCTGGTAGCATATCTCCCTGGAATGGCGGGGCAAAGCCGAGTCTACCCCCAAGCTAACTCTCAACCCAGCCTAAACTCACACGGAGGGCGGGGGCGGGGGGGGGGGGGCCTGGAAGATGTGAAGATGCGGACGAAAGCCTCTCACCCCAACTGTTCGGCAGCCAGTCGATTTCCCACCAACCCGGCAGCTTTTCCGTACCAAAACAGGAAATCCTACGCAACCAAGTCGGCCTTGCATTTGTTTTAGGCCACCCACTGTTTGCAAAGGGGCCAAGTGGTAGACAGGAAATCCTGCTATCGATCCACAAGCTCCGTCCCAAATTTCGAATTCTCCAAGTTCAGGAAGCGTCCGCTCTGCCCAAAGCCACATTTACGTGTCTCTCCTTTGGCCGAGCAAGGGCATCTGAAGATCTTGCGAGGTGTCAAGCTACAACGTAGGTGGACTGCAGAATGGCCCTCTGATTGCTTCACATACATCACAGCTCTCATCAACCCTGAACTGAAAACCCTCACGGACTGCATCGTGGAATTGGTCCAATCTCTCCTGATCGGGGCCTCGCGTCACGCCCAGCATCCGCGCTTCCTTCTGGAAAAGTAGAAACAAAGAAAGCCAACGATGCTAGTTAACCATCCGCGTGTGTCTAGTTCTTTTTCCGCGTACCCCTTTTGGTTATATGAATAAGACACCAAAGAGAAACTATCATTTTGGGGGTCCCCTAAAAAGGACACACCCATTCAAACTGGAGAGGACAGCCTGAAAAAGGGCTTGCTATGGCTTGGGAGGCTGAGCCAATGTGGTCTTAGCTCTGCCAGCCTCTCCAACCTTCCCCACCCACCCACCCACCCACCCGAAAACCCCCACAACACCCCCCACCCCACCCCCAGGCCCCCGCCTGAACCACATGGACACCGCCAGCACCGCCACCGCGGCACAGATCTGCAGACCGAAAAAGGTCACCTCCGACAGCGCCGTGGAGGTCCGGGCCCTCGGATCGATCCATCGCGGGTCCACATCCGCCAGAGACTTACGCGGCGACGAAAAAAAAAGCCAGGAGGTGTCCTTTCTTCCATGGCACTGGGTATTATTAGCCCCCTTTTTGGTGGGGTTGTGTTTGGGAAGCCAAAAGAGAAAACCAGAACATCTTGGGGGGACCCGGAAAAAAGAAAGAGGGATTGCCCCTCCACCTTTGTTGAAAGCTGGCCTCAGAAACCAGAATTCGTGTGGCAAATTTTCGGTGCGTCCCAAGAACCCTTCTCAGAACCAACCCCTACTCGAACCACCCCCCCTACTGGTCGGCCGTATCATCTGCGCTTCTTGTCCAACCGCTTCTTGGTCGATTGTTTCCCAAGCGGGAGTCCACTCCGCGCATTTGTATTTAAAAGTTGCGATTTTTGAGCCGGAGCTGCAGGAGCGCACTCCGCGCGCTACGTTTGTACTTAAAAGTTACGGTTTTCTGCTGCGGGAGCGTCCTCCGCCTACTACGTTTGCACGTAAAAGTTGCGATTTCTGTCTAGAAGAGCTGCCGCAGACCAGGCGGTAATCGAACCCGCGACGCGCGACTCCGAGAGCAGGCGCGCAAACCACGCGACAACTTGCAAAGACCAACCACGCCGACCCGCGGGAACCGCAGAAATCGCAAAAAGCCCCCCGGTTTCTAACCTCGACCACGCCGATCTCCGCAGACATTCGCGCGCACCGCAGAAATCGCAGAAAGTCCTCAGTTTTTTGACCTCGACCACGCCGATCTCCGCAGAGGGTCGCGCGCGCAGATCAGAGGTCGTAAAAAGTCCTCAGTTTTTTGACCTCGACCACACGAATCTCCGCAGAGGGTCACACGCGCACCGCAGAAATCGCAGAAAGTCCTCAGTTGTTCACACGAATCTCCGCAGAGGGTCGCGCGCACAGATCAGAAATCGTAAAAAGTCCTCAGTTTTTAAACCTCGACCACGCCGATCTCCGCAGAGGGTTGATTTTCGTAGGGTGCTGTCAGCCCTACCCCGCCGCCCTAAGAAGAGAAGAAAGGAATTTACAACTCTCATGAGCAATGACTCTGTGCAATGAGTCTGTGCAATGACTCTCATGCTGATAACTCCCATGAACCCAGCGAAAGCACCCTTCGCCATGCTTTCGGGGAAAAAGAAGCTCAGGTGATATCCCCAACAGCATGCGGTGCTCGTTTTAGTGCTCGCACCACCCCGCCGCCCTCGCAGAACCTTGTGGAACCCTCGTGGAACCCTGGTGGAAGCCTGGTGGACCTGGTGCAACCCTGATGGAACCCTCGTGTCGTGGAACCCTCGTGGAACCCTCGTGGAACCCTCGTGGAACCCTCGTGGAACCTTGCCTCAGGGCCGGACCCCGGAGCCTATCTGGGCTGAGACCCCAAAGCTTTCAGCTGTTGAATGAAGACGAAAACGCCTCAGAAATCAGGACCAAAAAAAACGGAAAACTCCCGTGGTCTCGTTGCGCGGTCAGTCCAAGGCCGGTTGAGCAAAGCGGCAAGTTGATCTCCAGCTCCGCCAGGTCGATATTCAGAATCTCGCCTGAGCGACATCGAAGAACTTCCATAGGCTTGGTTGCCGTTGGGTTTGGGGAGCAAAAATTATATGTATAAAATTGCAGTTCAGTGGATTTGGATTCCAACCACTAAACCACAATAAGCAAAAATGTAAAATGTTTCCTAACAACAACCATGTAGGTGGCCTTATAGAAAAATAGATGGCCCTGCTACATGGGGCCTAAAACCCATCTAACCCAGCGGAACCCGTCTATTTCTAGCCCAACCAATCCAAAAAGGACACCTATGCTTCCAGGGCGTGCCCCTCCAAATTTGGGACCGCGTCCACCAGGCGTCCCTTTCCTTCTCAAACCCTCCAAAAGGGGGCGTCCTTAAAGGACTTCTTCCTTTCCAAGCCATCCGAAAGGGGGCCCCAAGGTCCCAAGGTGAGGCAAGGGTTTGGCTGCAACACACAGCCAGCGCTCACTGCACAGGCACCACCAAAAAACACCCTGCAATCGCTCGGCATTTTGGCTTGTCTCTTGTTTTTG